TTCGATGGCTTCTCTTCATTCTTAGAATCAAGTTGAAATTCCTTAACATGGCCCTTCAGGCCCTATCCCATCTCCTGTTCTAGTCTTGTCTCATGCTGTTCTTCCTTTGCTCACTCCTCTCCAGTCCTGCCAGCTTGGTCTGTGTTCCCTGGACTCACTAAGCAACCTCTTCTCTTAAGGGCCTTGGACATGCTGTTTTTTCCCTCTGGAAAATGCTGCCCCGTCAGTTTGGCTGGCTAACATCAGTACCTCATATCTCAGCAGAAGTATCACTTCATTAAGAAGGCCTTTCCAGGTCCTTCCAAAAATAGTTTTAAGTCCTCCTATTTTGTGCACTTCTTTCCTTCATAACATTATCCTTATTGTAATTAAATACCACTTGTGTGATTATATGTTTAGTATCAATGTCTTCACTAGACAATAAGCTATATAGACAGGGACTATGTTGGCCTTATTCACTGAAGTTTTCCCAATGAGCCAAGCAGAGAGAAGGCATTCAGTAAATACTGCTTGCCTGGATGAATGCATGAACTGAATCTTGCCTGCATTTGCTGTCCCCCCTCTCAGACAGGGCTCCTTGTGGGAAGGCTGTGTGTGTGACCCTCCTCGGAATGAACTGGTGTCTCTCCAGGGCATGAAGTAGTGTCTGACTTCTGTGGGCCCCCTGCCTAAGCTGTCTAGGTGAGTAGAATTCAAAGAAAGCATGTATTTTTTGCTCATTTAAATATTACACGTTCAAGTTCCTAGAATTCATAGCTTCAAAATATAAGGTTTTAACTATTCACAACATGGCATAATTTTGTAATTTTGCTGAGGTTCAAACTTGAGTTGCATGGATAGGAAACTGGGGTATAAGAGGACTGATTTAGCCAGAGAATGTGAGTTTAACATCTCAGTGGGGCTACTCTGCCCTCTATGGAAACATTTACAAAATGTGGGAGTTCAGCATGTAGTTCTCGCCAAGATCAGGGGTCTGTACAAAGGTAATTAACAAAGGGTTAGAAATTCCTTTGAATCTCACCTTCTAACCTAATCCAGTGATTTCATAGGGAAGTAATTCCTTCCAGTGTGTTTTCATTGTGCACAGACTTTGACAACAGATGTAACTTTGAATCCTGACTCTGCATTTACTTTTCTATCAGCCTTTGTTTTCCCATCTCTAAAAGGGGGATGACACCTTCACAAAGTTACTGGATTATATAAACCAGCATATGTGCATTTATCTGTCTGCCTTCCTCTTTTCCTCCATGCTAAGAGGTTCTCCTAAACAAAGGACAAGATTGGGTTCCCTAACCTGTTCCTTTCATCCCCAACCCTTGGAGCTGGACAATTCAGGCTGACTGCAAAATGCCCTCAATAATGTCCTCAGACTAGCTGAAGGGGGCAGAGATGACTAAGGAGCCCTCACAGTAAAATGCCTACTGACAAGGGCAGTGACCGTTTCAGGGTACCATCCAGCTGGGCTCTTTGTAGGATACTGTTGTCAAAATACTGGGTTGAAATACTTCTTTCCTTCTTAACTCTTGGTCTCCAAAGAAGGTGGAGTGGATGTAGAAGATGAAATAGCCTTGGAACACACCCCATTTATTCTGGGTCAATATACACTGATTTGAGGCCTCCCTCTCCTTTATTTCAAGCATAAGAATATTCTGTAGTAAAAGTGGATCCCATATCCATCTTAAGTCACTACTGATCAGAACCTAGGTGTAGTCCCTGGGAAGCAAAACAGAATGAACAAGAAGTGTTAAAGGTCGACTTTAAACAAAACCAAGCTGCTTTAATATTAAACTTTCTGTTGGGTCTCCAAAAGAAACCATTACATAACTTCAGTGAGGCTAAGTACACATGGAGTTTGCCTCTGGGGCTCTGTTCCGAGAAGGATATGTACCTTTCCTTGAGGGTGCTAAAACATGCACAAGCTACACAAACACAAATGCCATTACCTTGACAATGCACTCTCACATTTTAGTTACAAGAGCCTGACACAGAGAAGACCCTGTAGCCTGCTCCTGGCTAGACAAATGGGTAGACTGAGATTCAACTAACATTGACTGAAGACTTCCTGCTTTCTTCTCATACCCATTAACAGTCAGTTTTGGCAAGGTATATATCACCATCCCCATTCTATACAAGGAAGAAATTGAGGTCTAGGGTTAGCTAAAGTTAGCTGCCCAACACAGAGTACATGGTGGAGTTAGGATTTAAACCCAGATCTTCTGTCTTAAATCCAGTGCTTTCACCACAACTGCTTCCTCAGTTCCAAGCCAAAGAGGGTGTTAAGGCTATCTTACCTTCCCTAGTGCCATTATTGAGCCAACATGAATCTTAACATGAATGTGGCAGACAAATTTTAAATATACGCCTTTCCACTTTACTGTTTGAGTGTAAATTGGACATTGTGCCTCTCAACCCCTCAATACCTCAGTATGAACTTCCTAAAACTGAAGACATATACTTTCATAAGCCAGTATGATTACTGAAAAAAATAGGACATTGCACAAGAAAAGACCCATAGACCAATGGAACAGACTAGAGAGCCCTGATATAAATACACCCATATATGGTCAATTAATACATGATAAAGGAGCCATGGACATACAGTGGAGAAATGACAGCCTCTTCAACAGCTGGTGTTGGCAAAACTGGACAGCTACATGCAAGAGACTGAAACTGGATTATTGTTTAAACCATACACAAAAATAAACTCGAAGTGGGTCAAAGACTTGAATGTAAGTCATGAAACCATAAAACTAAGAAGACAACATAGGCAAACATCTCCTGAATATGAGCATGAGTAACTTCTTGAATGCATCTCCTCAGGCAAGGGAAATAAAAGCAAAAATGAATTCATGGGACTACATCAAACCAAAAAGTTTCTGTACAGCAAAGGACACCATCAACAGAACAAAAAGGCATCAGTATGGGAGAATATATTTGTAAATGACATATCCGACAAGGGGTTAACATCCAAAATATATAAAGAACTTACACACCTCAACACCCAAAAAGCAAATAACCCTATTAAAAAATGGGCAGAGGATATGAAGAGACAGTTCTCCAAAGAAGAAATTCAGATGGCCAACAGACATATGAAAAGATGCTCCTCATCACTAATCAACAGGGAAATGCAAATTAAAACCACAATGAGATATCACCTCACACCAGTAAGGATGGCCAGCATTGAAAAGACTAAGAACAACAAATGCTGGTGAGGATGCAGAGAAAGGGGAACCCTCCTACATTGCTGGTGGGAATGTAAGCTAGTTCAACCATTGTGGAAAGCAATATGGAGGTTCCTCAAAAAACTCAAAATAGAAATACCATTTGACCTGGGAATCCCACTCCTTGGAATTTACCCAAAGAATACAACTTCTCAGATTCAAAAAGACATATGCACCCCTATGTTCATCGCAGCACTGTTCACAACAGCCAAGATATGGAAGCAACCTAAGTGTCCATCAGTAGATGAATGGATAAAGAAGATGTGGTACA